GTTGATCATAACTTCGTGTCTGCAGATCGTCACAATCATGTCATGTCATCTCTGTAGGGTAAGTTGGCATCAAGAGATCTTCAGGAGTTCCGTCGCGAGCCTTTGTTCTACATTCTCTCAGGCTGTTTTCTGAACATATATCTACTCTCGTTTCTTCTAGCAAACTGCGTCGGTATATTCAGCAAAACATTGACATTTTTCATTTTCCGTTTGTAATATTTCTTTATTAAAACAGATTAAAACTCAGAATATTACTGTTACCATCGGAACTGAAAGTCTGAACTGGCTGTCGAGGGATGGGATGGGGCACTTATGGGAGTGACCCGTATGTTGTGATGTCAGTTCCTAACTCCGTTATTAAATTAGACATTCAGAAGAGGATATTTCATTTTTCGCATCACTGAATTCAAAACTATAATAATAGCGATTTAGTTCGCCTTTCTGTTTACTTTTTCGTATATAATCTTTGCCAGCTTCTGTAGGCCGTCGTGCAGTAAAATTGCCTAATAAAAGTACTAACAGACACTACATGCTGAGATTGAGTGTTGAAGTCTGAGGCTGGAGTTTTGAACAACGGATCAACATCATGGCACACGGGTAGTAACCCATAAGTGCTCCGTCCTTCTTCTAAATCAAGTCAGAATCCGAAGGAGCTCATTGCAGTGCACAGGCTCTGCAGCATCGGCGAGGATCCTTAAATATTTTGGGTAGATTTTTAACTCCGGAGTTTTCCCGGGCAGCGCCGTTAGGCTACTCTTTTCGATTTCTAACGGCCAAGGGATTTTTTTTACGTGCGCAACAATGCACACGGGCGTCCGATCTAACTACCCAGAGACCAGGGAGAATTACAAGAAGTCTAAGTCCACGTGAAAAATCCCAGCACTTACCGGGAATTACACCTTGAACTTCTAGCACCTGAAGTGGACACCACGCCTCGAGACTAGGCAGAGCTGTAGATGAAGTGTTGAATGTTAACAGTCGATATCACAACACTTGGGATACTCACATAAACGCCCCGTTCCCATCTTCAGCAGCAAGCGAAGAGTTCCAGTTTCGATGATACCAATAACTGTCTGATTATATATCCGTCTCGCCCTTCCCTTGAGTGTTGAGCATCGAGCAGATCCGCTGATAACTCCCAGCAGCGCCATTCTCCTCAGACCGTAATGATCTGTTTGTGTCTTCGCACTGTTCACTCGTTTCCGAAGGCTGGGTTTTTTTTTCACGTGGACTTCTAGTAATTTCCTTTAATCTCTGGACAGTAAGATATGACGCCCGTGTGTATTCCTGCGCACGAAAAGAGTAGCCTAACGGCGCTGCATGGACAAAGATTTAGAGTTTAAAATCTACCCAAAGTATTTCAGGATCCTCGCCGGTGCTATGGAGTTCGTGCACTGCGTTGAGATTCTTCAGAATCAAGCTTGAGTTAGAAGTAGAACGGAGCTTTTATGGGTTACTACGTTTGTGCCATAATGTTGATCCGTTGTATAAACCAATAACCAATATAAGCCAATCAAAAAAGTATATAATCTGGAACAGCATTTGTATCAGACGTCCCATCAAACTGATAATTTCAAAGTCTGCACAGACTATTGCTTTAGTTTACATGGGAAAGTTAGTAACTTTGAAATTCCTAAACCTCATCGTAGACCTATATGTTTTGCGTGACCTGTCTGTGCTCAGTTAGCATTACAATCATTTACTTTTTGCTAGCTCTGTCACTTGTATGTAGTGTTTATATTGTCGTTGCATTGTGCATCTGTTGTTGTATTCTGATGAAGTTTTCCTAGTAGCATTCTTCATTTATTTTGTCGCCTTGAAAGCTGATCAATTCTACCTTCCGTTTATTTTGTATGGTTTTTTTTCCCCCTCCAAATTCTATCTCGCTGACTCATGCTTTTGTTCATATCGTCTACGTTTTTCATTCTCTTTAACCACACTTATTTTAACATGATTACATGTTCTTATAAGTATTATTATTTTGTGTGTGTGTGGGTAGTTTCATAGCAGTTCCACTGTATGTTTTTTGCATCCTTTGCTATTTACTTGTCTAATAAATCAGAAAGACACCAAAACCGGCAAAAGTCGACTTCCGTATAGTGGACAGACCAGAGCAAGTCATTATTCTACGCCTTAGGTTAGTTTCGTATCATTTACAGGACGTTGCAGAACCAACCCCAACAGCCCCTGGCTGTTGTGCTTCTGGACGGTCGGCTTTCTTGATACCACTGTCGAAACCAATGCAAGGCGCATGGCCCGCCGCTGGGATCGAACCCGGTATCCCGGCATTACGAAGCGTTCGCATCGACTTAGCCACATAGCCGGCCTACGCCTTAGAACAAGACCAAATCGACTTCGCGACCACATGTACACACAATTAAAGATTTGCCAGTCAGCCATGTATACATGCGGATTAGCACCTTAGACAAAAGATCACGTCCTCCAAGAGTGTCCCTAATTCTACATTGCCAGGCAAAACTTTTTACCAAGAGAAACACCAGTGCACGGCAAATTCTACGGGTTAAATTAAAACATACAGTGAAGTTTAAACTAGAAACAACATTGCAGATATAGATCCAATTCAAGCGAACGAAAGCCGAAGAGGAAGAACTTGTTTTGAATGACTTTAAAATATTCTCTGTTTGTTATGTTTTTTTGGAGCTTTTTAATCCAGTTCAGATCATTTTATTCAGTGCTGTTCTTTAAACAGTTGTAGCTTGTATCAGCTGTGCTGTTTTGTCTTTTGCATTTTTTAATGATTTATAACTGGAGTTTCGTTTGTTTCTTTAACTTCGACGCTTTTCTATATCTGCAGACACCAGTGCTAAACAAGGTGTTTAAATTTGGAGGCATTTAAAAAAAAAAAAACATTTTGCAGCAAAAGGCGGGATGTCCAATTAAATACAGAGGTTAGAACTAGGCCTGTACCGAATTGTGATTTTCACTATTCAGCCGAATACGAATAGCGTGACCAACTATTCTGCCGAATAAGTATACGAATAGTGAATCATCATCACCAGGTGCCTTGCCGACTTGCTTGGGCGATTATGCCTCGCCACAATCTGCGATCTCCTGCAGCATGTATTAGTTCCTGTGCTGACACACCTCCATGCCATGCAACAAGACTGTCAAGAATCTTCTCTCGTTGTCTTTCTCTATCCCTCCGTCCACAGATCTTTCAACTGGTCACAACATGTTACATTTTCCCTCTTCTCATAACATGGCCGAAAATGACGTCTCTTTCTGACGTCTGTGATAAGTTTTCTTCGGACTCCCGCCTCTTTTAAAACCTCTTGGTTGCTCTTTTTGGCTGTCCAAGGTATTTTGAGTATTCTTCTGTAAAACCACATCTCGGAGGCCTCAAGAAATTATTTGGCCTGCTTACCGATTGTCAGGACTCACAGCCATATGTTCAAACTAGATGTATATTGCAAGCAAGAATTCTTTTTCTAACCTTCAATGACAAAAGTATATTGCATAGGACGTTCTTTATTTTATAAAAATGCAGTTTTTGCCTGTCCTATTCTGTTTCCTATTTCAATAATGCATCTTCCATCTGATGTTATCCATGTGCCCAGATACTTAAATTCCTGTACTTGTCCCAAAATGAAACCATTGACTTTTATTACACATTTAGGAATAATTCTTTTCTTTGATACCATCATTACTTTTGACTTCCCACTATTCAAACTGAGGCCCATTCTTCCACTTTCGAATAGTGTCACAATTTATAGCTGTCTGTTCTTGATTTTCGCCCCTCCCCTCCCCCGAAATACGCATCCAGTTTGATAACCTCTGATGTAATGTCGGTCGACAGACTTAAGCAACAGCAACTATTGTGTTAATGAGAGAGTTATTTCAGTCCATCGCAGTGTATGAAGAAACGGGTGTAAGGTAACCACTATTCGTATTATTAGTATTAGTTATTAGGTCCACTATTCGGCCCTGAAGCGAATACGAAGCAAATATTGGGTACAGACCTAATTGGAAACAAGCTGGGAATAAATTTAGAGCTACCCGTGTGGGTACCAGAGCCTTGTTGTTGGTTAAAAATTAGACCACCTGTCGGCTAAAATGTGTGTCATAAGAGTTGACTAATTATGGATGTGTCCTTTTTAGTCGGAGTGCATCTTTCTGGGAGACATGGAACTAACTATCTGCATACAACGGATGTGCATCCACAACTCAGATCTAGAACAAGATTACGATCCAGAAGTGGATGAAAAACTAGAACTTTCCGCAGTAATTTAAAGCCTGTTAATGCGAAGAAGAAGAAGAAGAAGAAGAAGAAGAAGAAGAAGAAGAAGAAGAAGAAGAAGAAGAAGAAGAAGAAGAAGAAGAAGAAGAAGAAGAAGAAGAAGAAGAAGAAGAAGAAGAAGAAGAAGAAATTAGAGCTAGTGAAAAAAAATAGACTAGTGAAAAATGTTCACAGCATTACCTATGTTATGGTTTTAATAATTCTGTCTCCGTGGGTCAACAAGTTGCCAGTATTAAATCAGATATGCTGAACTTGATGTTTTACTATCTGAAGGCCTCTTGGTCAAGTCAGCCAAGTTATGGATTCACGTTTTTCTTGGCGTCCCCAATTTCCTACCTTTTTGTTCTGGGCTTTTTGAATGGATTTGGATAGGTCAGTAGATCGTATTGCTGTCCTTAACGTTTAATTACTATTGTTAAGGGGGCTGTATGGTGGGAACTGCTGAAAGCAAGTGACGCACATATTATGCAACGATAAAGTTTGGAAGATGTGCATAAAGACATGGATGAACAGCAGTCTAACAGACTGTAGAACCAGGACATCAGAAAACGATTATTAGAGATCATAGCAGTCAACGTTTACTGTGTAGAAAGCAACTGAGGCATATTATTATGATTAAAATAATAATAATAATAATAATAATAATAATAATAATTAATATTATTTTATATCATACATTTCTACAATTATTTAGACGTAATAATAAGTTTCACGCTCATTCAGTTGTCTTTTCTCTACACAGGGTTCCCAGTGTTGCCAGTAGGTCTCTACGCTATTATCCGAGGGATTCACGAGAATCTCAATAAAAAGTATGTAGTGTTCTTCCTACTCTTGACATGTCATGTTCTTTATTCTGAATGTACCATTTTACTGGTGTCATACAGTGTTCTTATGTCCCTTCCTACAGTTGTCATGCAGTGTTCTGCGTGTACTATCCTACAGTTGTCATGTAGTGTTCCTTGTGTACTTTCCTACAGTTGTCATGTAGTGTTCCTTGTGTACTTTCCTACAGTTGTCATGTAGTGTTCCTTGTGTACTTTCCTACAGTTGTCATGTAGTGTTCCTTGTGTACTTTCCTACAGTTGTCATGTAGTGTTCCTTGTGTACTTTCCTACAGTTGTCATGTAGTGTTCCTTGTGTACTTTCCTACAGTTGTCATGTAGTGTTCCTTGTGTACTTTCCTACAGTTGTCATGTAGTGTTCCTTGTGTACTTTCCTACAGTTGTCATGTAGTGTTCCTTGTGTACTTTCCTACAGTTGTCATGTAGTGTTCCTTGTGTACTTTCCTACAGTTGTCATGTAGTGTTCCTTGTGTACTTTCCTACAGTTGTCATGCAGTGTTCTGCGTGTACTATCCTACAGTTGTCATGCATTGTTCTGCGTGTACTTTCCTACAGTTGTCATGCAGTGTTCTGCGTGTACTATCCTACAGTTGTCATGTAGTGTTTCTCTTTGTACTTTCCTACAAATGTTATTTAGTGTTCTGTGTGTACTTTCCTACAGTTGTCATGTAGTGTTCTGTATGTACCTTCCTACAGTTGTCATGTAGTGTTCTGTTTGTACTTTCCTACAGTTGTCATGTAGTGTTCTGTTTGTACTTTCCTACAAATGTTATTTAGTGTTCTGTCTGTCCTTTCCTACAGTTGTCATTTAGTATTCTATCTCAATAAAAAGTATGTAGTGTTCTTCCTACTCTTGACATGTCATGTTCTTTATTCTGAATGTACCATTCTACTGGTGTCATACAGTGTTCTTATGTCCCTTCCTACAGTTGTCATGCAGTGTTCTGCGTGTACTATCCTACAGTTGTCATGTAGTGTTCCTTGTGTACTTTCCTACAGTTGTCATGTAGTGTTCCTTGTGTACTTTCCTACAGTTGTCATGTAGTGTTCCTTGTGTACTTTCCTACAGTTGTCATGTAGTGTTCCTTGTGTACTTTCCTACAGTTGTCATGTAGTGTTCCTTGTGTACTTTCCTACAGTTGTCATGTAGTGTTCCTTGTGTACTTTCCTACAGTTGTCATGCAGTGTTCTGCGTGTACTTTCCTACAGTTGTCATGTAGTGTTCCTTGTGTACTTTCCTACAGTTGTCATGTAGTGTTCCTTGTGTACTTTCCTACAGTTGTCATGTAGTGTTCCTTGTGTACTTTCCTACAGTTGTCATGTAGTGTTCCTTGTGTACTTTCCTACAGTTGTCATGTAGTGTTCCTTGTGTACTTTCCTACAGTTGTCATGCAGTGTTCTGCGTGTACTATCCTACAGTTGTCATGCAGTGTTCTGCGTGTACTTTCCTACAGTTGTCATGCAGTGTTCTGCGTGTACTTTCCTACAGTTGTCATGCAGTGTTCTGCGTGTACTATCCTACAGTTGTCATGTAGTGTTTCTCTTTGTACTTTCCTACAAATGTTATTTAGTGTTCTGTGTGTACTTTCCTACAGTTGTCATGTAGTGTTCTGTATGTACCTTCCTACAGTTGTCATGTAGTGTTCTGTTTGTACTTTCCTACAGTTGTCATGTAGTGTTCTGTTTGTACTTTCCTACAAATGTTATTTAGTGTTCTGTCTGTCCTTTCCTACAGTTGTCATTAAGTATTCTATATGTACCTTTCTATTGGTGTCATATAGTGTTCTGTATGTCCCTTCCTACAGTTGTCGTTTAGTGTTCTATATGTGCCTTCCTACAGTTTGAATTTGTTTACGATTCTTTGTCAGTGGTACCAAGACTTTCTCAGCAATTGGTATGCCTCTACTTATCTTCATCTATTATCCAATTGATTGATTGGCACCTTTCCGACTTTCCAGACGATAGTTTTTTATTACGCTATAAGGAAGCATAGGACTTACTGTCCATTGCGATGGCGAGTATGACTAGCAAGAATCGCCAGCGTTAAAAAAAAAAGTGATATCCCTAAGGCACCCTAAATATCACCGAGCTTTATAATCACATTCTTTTCTCAGATGTCGACGTCGGTGGAATTCTATATATAATTCTGAATCTTCTAGGACGCCAAGATAGTTGCGGCCAAACAAACGCCGTTTTTGTTGTCTTTCAATTTGCGATCTAAGAAAACAATTTGTTATAATGTTTTTTTTTTTGCTACGTTTGGATATTGGTGTCACGGGAGTGCTTTGACATAAATAAAGACCTCAGAAAGCGTTTTGTCTAGGTATAACACTAAATAGAAATAAAAAGACAGGAAATCCCTGAGGCAGGAAAAATATTATATATATATATATACATAAA